CAATAGCTTCAGCTAGATGTTGCTGGGGCAGTCTGAAGCTTGCTGGCAGCTGGAAGTTTGCTGGGGCCCCTTTGGCTGTGGCTCTCAACAACAGGTGTGCGCCACCACGTCTGGCCTGTATTGTACTTTTTATGGGCCTTAATTAACCCTAGTCTAGGCCAATTTTTTTCTGATGTTGCCTCATTTCTTTCATCTATCTTCAGTTATTTAAGCATTACATAGTAATTATAAGTTATCAGATTATATGTGCTGGAATACCAGAAATAAAGGACGGTTATTTGTGTTTTACAGGTTGCTTCATGTGCGAAATGGAAACTGCAAATATCATTTGGGTGAAGAAACATTCAAGTTAGCTCAGACATATATGGATAAACTCTCAAAACATGGCCAGCAAGCAAACAAAGCTGCACTCTATGGGGAACTGTGTGCACTCCTGTTTGCAAAAAGTCATTATGATGAGGTAAGTGTTTTGAGGTATATGTCAGTGTGACCAATAATTGCCCATAAAACGGATAAATCAAATAGTCTTCTCATATGCTTTATAAATCTCAGTTTCACATATTAAGTTTACTTAAAGCAATACACATTTGTAATACTTAAGACAATATTAAAATTTTTTATTTAGTTGTTGATGGACCTTTATCTATGTATGTATGTATGTATAACATATTTATTTATTTATTTATTTATATGTAGCATTGAGAATTGAACCCAGTGCCTCACACGTGCTAGGCAAACTCTCTACCACTGAGCCACACAATTCCAGCCCCGTGTATTTGTGTGTGTGTGTGTGTATGTGTGTGTGTGTGTGTGTGTGTGTGTGTGTTTGTGTGTAAAATTCATTTATCAGGGGAGGGGTTGTGGCTCAGTGGTAGAGGGCTTGCCTAGCATGTGTGATATGTGAGGCACTGGGTTTGATTCTCACCACCACCTATAAGCAAATAAATAAAGGTCCATTAATAACTAATAAAAATATTTAAAATAAATAAGTGTGTGTGTGTGTGTGTGTGCGCGCGCGCGCGCACGCACGCGTGCGCGCAACTCAGGGCCTTTTTTTATTTTTTAATTTAACCAAGTATTTCTCTGCCTAAATTGTTTTAGTGATATCCTCTGGTAAGTAAACCTTAATAGATGTTTTTGATTAGATGTGTAGTTCTGAGTGAACTCTCATAACTTGAAAGCTAGATTTTTATTTATGCCTTATAGCATTGCTTTTCTTCTTCCTCCTCCTCATGAATAAGATTGCTTTATTCCTAGTTTTATACTATTAAATTAATGCTTTGGGGCTGGGATGTGGCTCAAGCGGTAGCGCGCTCGCCTGGCATGCGTGCGGCCCGGGTTCGATTCTCAGCACCACATACAAACAAAGATGTTATGTCCGCTGATAACTAAAAAATAGATATTAAAAATTCTTTCTCTCTCTCTCTCTTTAAAAAAAAATTAATGCTTTGGTGATAATAAATACATAGTTGACTAGTGTGCTTTGCTGCTTGGTTGCTTTATTTTATGGGAAAATATAATTATTTCATGCTATCAGTCATCATTTAGCTTTCATATTTTAAAATTATCTCTATATTGATTTTTGTCCTATTCTAAGTATATATGCCATATTTAAAGGGAAATTACAATTAGCAGTGATACCAGAAAATTATAGAATAGTTAAAAAAGGATGTTTGTGCCTTTTTAATATTTATGTAAGAATACTTAAGACTGACATGTAAAAATCTAAAATCCATATCAGCATGCCTATAGTTTTTCAGGAAATAAGTGTATGTGTAATTTTTTGATGTTGAGATCCTGTGTCTGCTAAATTTGTTCTGTGGGTGGATTGTTTTATTGCCCCTTATGTGCAATGAGTGATGCATAGATGTTTATCAACTTAGATGTAGGGCTTGGCCCCTTTTTCTAATTCTCACACACCAGAAAACAGCTCCATTCACAGAAGATCTTTGTGTAGGTACTTGACTTCATGGAAAATGAGAGTGAGGTTAATAATAGATATTAAGTAATACCTGTCTTTAAAAGTCTTAGATGCTGAGTTGGGGTTGTAGCTCAGTGGTAGAGTGCTTGCCTAGCATGTGTGAGGCACTGGGTTTGATTCTCGGCACCACATATAAATAAATAAATAAAATGACAACAAAAAAAAATTAAAAAACAACAGTTCTTAGATGCACCAACATCTTTTTATATGTTTGCATAGGAACTCAGCCATCTCTGCTTCCTCTTTCATCATTTCCTTTCTTTTCTTTTTCCCTCATACTGCTTTCTAAAACACTGTAGTCATGTCCCCCCACCTCACCCCCCATCCCCCACCCCCACCCCTACCTCTTACATAGAGTAGTTTGTATTGTGCCATTCTTTCCTCAGGTGACTTTTATTTACCAGTTTCCATTTTCTTTCTTTTTAGGCCATTACTCCTTAATTGACAGTTATTTCTTTGGGTTTAGTAGTTTAAATGATGCCTTACTCTTGATCTTTGCAGCTCTTAGCACATTCATGAGGAATGTTTAAGTTTGTTGTTGTTTCTTGGATAATTTGACTGTGTATAAACTTTTCATTGCTGTCTTCAAGAAACTGTGCAGATCTTGAGGATATAGTGTGATGAATTATCACCAAATTCTTATTAGTCACAATAGGGTAGGCCATCTGGAGTCAGTATCAATCCCAAAATAACAGTGGTTTGTAACAATAAAAGTTTGTTGTTTTGTTTATACTTTGGATGACTACAGCTGCACTTAACAGTATGCTTACATTTTGTTCAAGACACACTATGGTTTATTTAGGACATCTGTCTGGAATATTAAAAATCTTGGAGCAGAGAGCAAGAAGGACTGCTTGTTCTGTCGATTGAATGTGTAACATACAGTACAGGCACTTTATGAACAATAGCTAGCAAAACATAAGCATTTTAACTAAACAGGCAATTAAGATTTTTTTTCCCTGGTACTAGGTATTGAACCCATGGGAGCTCTACCACTGAATTATATCCCCAACCCTCTTTATTTTGAGACAGGTCTTTTTTAAATTACTAAGGCTGGTGTGTGCCACTGTGGCTGATCAGGATATAAAATAATAAGTGTTATAATAGAGGAAGTAAAATATAAGAAACTTAGACCAGAACTGGAACCTGAAAGACAAGTTAGGTGTGTTAAAGAGTTAGAGGAAGAGCCAATGTATTCTAAGACAGAGGAAATATGTATAAGGACTTCTAGGCAAAAGAGCACATGCCTCTCATTTCTTGAACATATGTCATATATCTGCAAGGTCTGATTCAGAAAACCTGTACATAATTAAGAGTAAAAATAATGTAACATTCATACTTTTAAGAAAATAAAGACTCAGAAAACTTTTTAAGTGTAAATATTTGGTGTGTTATTTATGTACTTGATAGCTTATTGGAAAAATCTGCATCATTTTGTTAAGTACTGTCAATTGAATTATCAAATTGTTCTGTTTTCTTCTAAAATTTTTTTTGTTTTTTTAGGCATACAAATGGTGCATTGAAGCAATGAAAGAGATTACAGCAGGCTTACCAGTTAAAGTTGTGGTTGATGTTTTGAGACAAGCATCTAAGGTGAATATCATGTAAAAATTATTAAATGAATTATAGGTTTTATCAGGATTTAAATTTGTTTTAGTTAACTTACTATTTAACATCTTAGTTATTGTATACTATATATACTACCAAGATCTAAATTCTAAGTTTCTGTGCCAAGTTTTAGAAACCTGGTATTTAAGCCAAACTATCTTACATGGACTTTAATTACTTTTCTTTTTTCAAGAAAACTTGTGATATAATTCATTTTAATAATTGTTTCAGTTCACTGAAGTACCGATTATGATATTTTGGGGTAATTCTGATTTGAGTTCTTGGTTTTCTTAAACCTGTGGAGTAATCTGAATTCTTTAGGCCAAAACTATATGGGCTATAATCACTTTTCTCCTTAAGGATAACCTAGTATTAAGTATTTTACTCTAATATTGCACTCTCATAGCAAGACACCTTGCTATACTTGACCTGGTAGATAGTTGTTTTTTTGTTTTTTTATTCTTTCTGTAGTTTTTTCTTATTCTGTAAACAAATGCATTAATTCTTTCACCACTTAGTAGCATTTAAAAATTATTACATTGGAACCTGAGGATGTAGTTCATTGGTAGAGTACTTACCTAATATGCATAAGGTGGGGGAGGGTAAAAATTACTGCTTTGGTTCACTGAAGCCTTAAAGCATTAATGTACTTTTTTGCATATAGTCTTTCTAGAAGTTTTTCAAATTTGAATATTCCATTTTCATCAGTTTGGCTTACAGAAATTCAATTGGGAAAAAATATTACAAAATTGTGGATCCTAGAAGACTGCAATATTTTTGCAAAATATTAAATCACTTATTTTGGAGCAAGTAAATGGCAGCATAAATATTCAGGTTATCATCAGCATTATAAAAGGGATCTTAGTATGTTTTTAATTATGTAAAAACATCAAATATTCAGTTAACATAAAGACAGTAAGTATGTAAGATTTATATTCCTATTTGCAAATGGTATTTAGAGTTTTAAAACTACTGACAATCCTTATGTTTGAAAATATTTTGAGAAATAATAGAAAAACTTGAAAATCTGTGTATTTAAAAATTATTAGTTGAGTCTAAGGCATACCACCCTAAATATTCCCCATCTCATCTGATATCTTAAGGTGAGGGTTGGGCCTAGGTTGCACTTGCATGGGAGAGCACCTGGAATACCAGGTGCTGTAGGTTTAGGAAAAAATATATTACAGGAAAACTATGAAAGATCATTGTAAGCCACTCCAGAACTGGGATAAGTACTTTAAGGTACCTTTCTAAGTACCTTAGAAAATACTACAGTAAGCCCTTCTACTATTTTATTTTAATAATAAGGAAGGTAGTTATACCAGCTTTGTTAGGAAACTTTGTCATGGTTTTGCACTGAAAATGGCTGTAAAAATTTTAATCTTTATGGTTTTTTTTTTAGGTTATATGCAGATCTGTGTATAATAGTTTATAAATAACTTGGAAATAAAAAAATTACAAATAGAATCTTTCTGTTTGAAGATTTTTTTCTTACTACTATAACTAAAATATATAAACTATATTTATTTTAGCACACTAATAAACTGTTTAAAAGGTAACAATTTTTCATTTTATCGTCTTTAGGCTTGTGTAGTAAAACGTGAATTTAAGAAGGCAGAACAGTTAATTAAACATGCAGTGTATTTGGCACGGTAGGTGGTGGTTATTTCAAATGTCATTTTATTTATTTATTTTTATTGATTTTTTTTAAAAAAAAAGACAGCAGAATGCATTATAATTTTTAGTACATGTATACTGCACAATTTTTCATTTCTCTGGCTGTATATAAAGTATGTTGACAACAATTCGTGTATTCATACATGTACTTTGGATGATGTTGTCTATCACATTCTACCATTATTGCTGATCCCCTGCCCCCTTCCTTTCCCTCCCACCCCTCTGCCCTATCTAGAATTCTTCAATTCCTCCCTACCCCACTATGAGTCAGCCTCCTTACATCAGAGAAAACATTCAGCATTTGTTTTTTTGGGATTGGGTAACTTCACTTAGCATTATCTTCTCCAGCGCCATCCATTTACCTGCAAATGCCATGATTTTATTCTCTTTTATTGCTGAGTAAAATTCCATTGTGTATATATGTCACATTTTTTAATCCATTCATCCACTGAAGGGCATCTGTGTTGGTTCCACAGTTTAGCTATTGTGAATTGTGCTGCTATAAACATTGATGTGACTGTGTCCCTTTTTAAGTCTTTTACAAATGTCATTTTGAATTGTTACTCTCCATTATATACTAATAGTTTTTCATCTTTTTATAGGGATCATTTTGGATCCAAACACCCAAAATATTCTGATACACTGCTAGATTATGGGTTCTACTTACTCAATGTAGATAATATCTGTCAGTCTGTTGCAATTTATCAGGTATGTTGATGGTTCTTTTTTCTTTTCACCCTAAATTGACTTGCCAACTTGTGTTTGTTTGTGGTACATAAATCACTATTTCAAAGTAAACTCTTTGAGCCCTGCCTTCCTTTTATAGAGCACTCATTAATTTACTGTTACATAGAAGGCTTAAAAACTGTTTTAGAAATTAAATTTATGAGATTGGGTATATAAAATATTAAAATATTTAATTTAAGATAGGTGGTATTTTCTAAAGGCTGACAATATTATTAAATATTTTTATTACTTTTTCAGGCAGCCCTTGATATTCGACAGTCAGTGTTTGGTGGCAAAAATATCCATGTAGCAACTGCACATGAAGACTTGGCTTATTCTTCTTATGTTCACCAGTATAGCTCTGGAAAATTTGACAATGCACTGTAAGTTCCACATTCCTTCTCAGTAAATTAGTAAATACCATTTTTTGTTTGTTTTATTTTTTCCCCAATACAATAGTACTTAATTTAGTTTATGGATTAAATTTCTCTCCCAGAGCTTTAAGAAGATGCCTAAAATGTTTCTTAAGGTTTTTAAAATCATACCAATTTATAAGCTATTCATTTAGACTCTATAGTTTAATGTTGAAACATTTTTATATAGAAAATGATTTATCTTTTGATTATTTTCTTAAATAATTTTTCTTTGAGTAATACAGCAGCCTGTGGCTAAATATTAGACCATTTTAATAACCTAAAAACATCTTGCTTAAAGCACACGGAAATATTGAATAAAATATTACAGTCATCTCTTAAAATATGTAACTGAGCTTGCAAGAATGAGGATAAATCCTTAATCAGTAATGGACATTAAAAATTCAAAGGCACAAACTATGGTGTAAACCATTTAGGGGTGGTAGGAAAGCTTAGAAATTTCTGTAACTGGCTGTTGAGTTAGAAATGAAACCCTCACATGAAGCCAGGATCAAGAGTATACCCTCAGGGATAGGGGTTATGGCTCAGCGGCAGAGCTCTTACCTGGCACGTGTGAGGCCCGTTTAATCCTTAGCACCATGTAAAAAAAATAAAGGTATTGACAACTACAACTAAAAAATAAATATTTTAAAAAAACAAAAAAGAGTATACTCAAGAAAAGGACAAATGGGAAGGAAAAATTACCCCACAGCAGAGACATGACAAGGAAACATTATCTGACCTTGGGCTCACAGTAAACTAAAGGAGTGCCACAGAGGAATGTATTAACTACAGATTATATCACTTTGGAGTCTGGGGGTTATGAATGCAGGAACCTACAGACTGAGAAAAACATTGAAGAGCACTGTGAGGCTGCTAGTTCTCTTGGGATATCTTCTGGGAGAAAACCCAAAACACAAGTATGTCATAGATATAGCTCTACCTAAAGTGAAGTCACCATCAACAATTACAAAATACATAAGGAAACATTTTTCTATAAGTGAGGGTCAATAAACATAATGATTAGAACCCTTTGAACTTTAGTCAAAATATTATGAAGTATGTATTCTTTAATGATTAAAGATATAAGACGGGTTAGCAAAGTGTGGCCTGCAGGCAAAATAAAATTTTACTCATTCATTTATTCATCTGTTTTCTATGAATGCTTTCATACCACAACAACAGAGTTAGATAGTTAGGACAAAGAATGTCTGGCCAACACAACCTAAAATATTTACTCTCTAGCCCCTTAAAAGTTTGCCAACCCTGGGCTGGGGATGTGGCTCAATGGGTAAACACCCCTGGGTTCAATCCCCAGTACAAAAAAAAAAAAGTTTGCCAATCTTAATATATATATTTTAAAAAATCAGTAATATTTTGGAGGGAAAATAAAGATTGTGTTTACTTTTTTCCCCCAAGTTGGGTCTTGCTATGTTGCCCAGGCTGGCTTGGGACTCCCAGGCTTAAACCACTCTGCCTTAGCCTTCAGAAGAGTAGGACTACAAGTACTCAGTTTAGATTTCAAAATAAAATAACTGATACATGCTATAGCACAGTTGACCCCTTGAAAATTTTGTGCTAAGTGACAGAAAGCTTGTCAAAAAGGATCACATCTTGTATAATTCCATTATATGAAATGTCCAGAATAGGCAAATCCATAAAGACAGAAAGTAAATCAATGTTACTTAGGCTGGGAGTTGGAGGGAAATGGGGAGTGACTGCTAATGGACCTGGGTTTCTTTTGACGTGATGAAAATATTTCTAAAATTGATTATGGTGATGGCTGTATAATGGAATATATTTTAAAAATCACTGAGTTACACATTTACTTAAAATAGGTGAATTACTTGTTATGTAAATTAAATCTTCATAAGGAAAAGACCTTTTATAAAAAAAATAAAATGACTAGCTAGAAATGGAAAATAATCATCGACATTAAAACTCAGTAGACAAGGCTGGGATTGTGGCTCAGTGGGAGAGAGCTGAGCAGCATGGGCAGAACCCGGGTTCGATCCTTAGCACCACATAAAAATAAAGACATGTGTTATGTCCATCTACACCTAAAAAATAAATATTAAAAAAAAAACTCAGTAGACAGGTTAAACATCAGGTTTAATTATAAGAGAGAGATAATTAGTGAATTTGAAGACAGGTTTGAGAAAATTTAGAATTGCTAGAAATGGAGATAGGAGGCTTAGAGTTGTTTGAAAATTGGCAGATAAAATAGACAAATAGCTTACCTTTTATTAGGTGAGATGGAACATAAAACAAGTAACCAAGCATGTCAGATAAGAATACTTTGTAAAGAATAAAGAAGACTGAGTTTAGAGAATGATAGTAGATTATTTTTAGGGACATTTATATAGTCTATTCTGGAAAGGCCTATTCAATGAGAGTGAGCCATGTGAATATTCAGGGGAAGAGCATTGCAGAGAGAGGGTAAATCACATGCAAGGGTGAGACTATGCTTTGCATGCTAGGAATCATGTAGGCCTGTGTGGATGGAGGGGTAAGAGAGTTAAAAGCTTAGTCCATAATAGATTAAAAATGTGAAACAAACAAAAAATTGATTATTTACCATAGTTTTATAAGTACTTTCTATCAGTATTATAGCGTGATTTTTTTTAAATGCTTAAATCATTTGTAACTAAAAAGAAATGCCAGACTATTATTTATCTGTATTGCAGATTTCATGCAGAAAGAGCTATTGGTATCATTACCCACATCCTACCTGAAGATCATCTTCTTTTGGCTTCCTCAAAGAGGGTGAAAGGTACCCTTTGTAATCCAGTCTCAGATAATTTTAGAATGATAATGTGTGGCATAAAATAGTGGTATTTATTTTCTCAGAGGTAGTAGAATTAGACTGTATGTTCGTATTTCTAAAATAACCAATTCTGTCAACTCCACAGTTTCCAGTGGTTCTTGGTGAAAGATTGTTCACTTCTCTCATATAATATTATTAAGGTGCCTTTTTCCTGTCTCTCCTTTCTTTATTCCTTCTTTTCTTTCTTGCATGCAAGTAGTTAATATAAGCATTTCTTATGAGAATAATGAGTTACACAATGATTACATAGTCATGAGTAAAATACTGAAGATGGGTTTATGGGTTTTGTAGCTTTAGTTTTATAGAGGATAGAGGAGGGTATTTTTTTAAGTACTAGGGATTGGGGGATTGAACATGGTAGGCAAATTCTACCTCAGAAACTTTTTTTTTTTTTTTTTGGAGACAGGGTCTTACTAATTGCTGAGGCTAGTTTTGAACTTGGGATCTTCCTGCCTCTATCTCCTGAGTTTCTGGGATTATAGGGATATACACCTGCACCCAGCTCACCAAAGATTTTTGATTTAATGCATTTATTTTGCTAACATGTTGGTCATTGTTAGGGTGATTTCGTGCATTTTGGATAAATTTTACCTTGTTTCTGGAACTGGGCTTTTTCTTCCTTGAGGTTGACAGTTAAGTTACTCAAGTACATGAAAATTTCAAAAATTAAAAGCAAGTTTAAAAAAAAGAAAAGTTACCTGAAACCCCACCATTTCTGTCAACATTTTGATGGTTATTTTAGCTTTTTTCTTTAAATAAGATAATTAAGTGAATAAGTATTTCTTTTAGTTTTATAACCTGCTTTTTTCACCTAATGCATTATGAAAGTTTTTCCATTTGAATATATGTTGCTATTTACCCTTTTTTCTGGAAGTGTATTTAACCTCAGAAGTGTATTTAACCTCTGTTACTGACCCTTTGTATCTTTAACATTTTGTTGTTCAATATTGCTACAGTGAGGTAAATCTTTTACCCACATTTGTGTAGATAGTTTTTCAAGAAATGAAATTGATACAGGTGTGTGTGTGTGTGTGTGTGTGTGTGTGTGTGTTCTATGTGTGTGTGTGTGTGTATTTTTTTTCAAGATTTTAGATGGAATTTTAAATTTTTGAATGCAGCTTTGAAAATAAAATATCTTCTGGCCTGACTTAGTGATCAAGTAAAGTAGGAAGAAGCCGGTTCTTCTAGTTGTGTTTGGTTAAAGGTCATGTTTTATAAAGGCTGGTTTCAAAAATTTCAAAAGTGCTTAGGTACTCTTTGATACAGTTTCATAAGATTAAAAAGTTTGCCTCTTCCTGACATTTACCTTAAAAATATACTTACCAAGGGCTGGGGTTGTGGTTCAGTGGTAGAGCACTGAGTTCCATACTCAGCACCGCATAAATAAAATAAAAGTATTGTGCCTATCTACAACTTTAAAAAAATACACACACTCACTTATCAGTAAGATAAAACAGTCCATTAAAGTAGAAACTGATACTGCAAAATAATTTGAGTTATACCATTTTTTTTCTTAAATTTGAATTGAATATATTATCTAAAATAGAATGATTTCTGCAAAAATGTACAGTTGAAGTGGAATCCTATGATCCTGACCAGTTCTAAATTATAATTACATATAAATATAGTCAATGAATATTGCTATTATTTGTTTTTCATTTAGATGTTCCTTTAGCTTAGTAAATGATTTTGAAGTACACTAATTTGTTGCTTTCTATTCAGCACTTATTTTAGAGGAAATTGCTATTGACTGTCATAATAAGGAAACTGAACAGAGGCTGCTTCAAGAAGCTCATGATTTGCACCTGTCTTCACTTCAACTAGCTAAAAAAGCTTTTGGGGAATTTAATGTACAGACTGCAAAACACTATGGTAACCTTGGAAGACTTTATCAGTCAATGAGAAAATTTAAGGTAGAAACATATTTCATATTTTTCTCTCCTTAAATAATAAATATTTAGTAATTTTAAGTAATGTAGCATAGATTCATTGTATTTCTACTTAATTTCACAAAGTAATTTAGCAAACAGTGAGTATGAAACAACATAATCGTTAAAATAAAATTAGAGAATTGGGACCATGGAAAAGAAACAGGTCAAATCAAAAAGTCTGATATGAAAGACTTCAAACACATGGTAATTGCAGGTAAATGGATGGAGTTAGAGAATATAATGCTAAGTGAAGTTAGCCAATCCCAAATAACCAAATGCTGAATGTTTTCTTTGATATAAGGAGGCTGATTCATAGTGAGATAGGGAGAGGGAGCATGGGAGGAATAGATGAACTCTAGATAGGGCAGAAGGGTTGGAGAGGATGGGAAGGGGCTTGAGATTATAAATGATTATGGAATGTGATGATCATTATTATCCAAAGTACATGTATGAAGACAAATTGATGTGAATATATGTTGTATACAACCAGAGATATGAAAAATTGTGCTCTATATGTGTAATAAGAATTATAATGCATTCCGCTATCATATATAAATAAATTTTTTAAAAAGACTTCAAACATAATCCTTTGCTAACTTAAGTATGTCCAGCTCATAGCAGAAAGCCTGACACATGATTGATATGCAAGAAATAACAGGTATTTTAATACCAAGAGGTAATTGTATAATTACTTATTAATAATTAAATATTCTTTTTTTTAAGATTTTTTTTTAAAGAGAGAGAGAGAGGATTTTTTTAATATTTATTTTTTAGTTTTTGGCAGACACAATATCTTTGTTTGTATGTGGTGCTGAGGATCGAACCCGGGCCGCACGCATGTTCAATTTTGGGCTGAGGTTGTGGTTCAGTGGCAGAGCACTTGCCTCACATTGGTGAGGTACTGGGTTTGAGCCTTGGCATCACATAAAAATAGATAAATAAAGATACTGTATCTATAGACACCTAAAATTTTTTTTAAAAAGATGTTCTTTTTGCCTGATAAAAACTATCAAAATTCCCCAAAACAAAGTGTATGTTTGTATGAATTAACACCTACTTAACAAGGTCCTATTAAATCTTGGAATGTATTAACTAAATTTCATTTTTAAATGCCTTGTTAATTTTTTCTTAACAATTTTCTATTTCTATTTTACTTTTGGCATTAGAAACTAATCACTGTTATCACCTTATGTACACAGTTTCCAAAAACCAGGAATGTTTTCCATTGGCAGCTCTTGGAATAGCTTGGTGTATTTTTTGATCTTATTACTTTATGGTACTTTTCATAAACTGTCTTTGACATTTAGAAGAATTTTGCTCATTGGGTAAGAATTGTTGACATAAGTAAAGTATATTAATTCACATAATTATTTTACAGGAAGCTGAAGAAATGCACATTAAAGCAATTCAGATTAAAGAGCAACTTCTTGGTCAAGAAGATTATGAAGTAGCCCTTTCAGTGGGACATCTGGCTTCTTTGTATAATTATGACATGAATCAGTATGAAAATGCTGAGAAACTTTATTTGCGATCTATAGCAATTGGTATGTTACCTTTAAATTTCCTTTAGTCATTTGATTCAAAGACCAGTGGGTCACCATATCTTTTAATATGTTGTAATAGGGAAATACTATTACTGAATTGCAGAGGATATCCAGATACCACCAGGACATCATCTGGAATACTTTGCTAATGGTACTTATTTGATATTGAAGTAATAGCAAGAGGTGTGACTCTTATTAGAGTGTCAAGTGTAGGTAAAAATAGTTGCTTTTGACTTAGTGCAGTTACTGCCCCATCTCTCCCACACCTCCCTTCTATTTTACATCACAAAACAGATTCTTCAACTGTTTTTTGAACTTTATGTAAATGGAGTTATATGATATTTTTACATCTGACTTTTTTATGAACCTTAATTGTAAAATATATCTGTATTATGGCATTTCACTCTCACTTGTTAATTTCATGTTATATAATGTAATATTTTATTGGATTAGTGTGTCATTGTCCATTCCACTGTTAATGAACATATGGAAGATTTGGATAGTTTCCAATTCAAGGAATTACAAAATAAGATGCAATGGCTGCCATCTTATGAAGTGCCTTTTATACCTCTTGCCTATTTCCATATTGATTGTCTTGTCATTTTCTTACTAATTTATGGAACTTCTTTATTTACTATAGATATAACAAACCCTTTTTGTTGGTTACATATATTGCCAATATTGTCCCTCATTTTATTGCTTGTTTTTCTAAGGGTGCCTTTTAAAGAACAGAAGCCCTTTATTTCATAGTATGAGACAGCAATCTTAAAAAATAATTTAAAAAATTGTTTTTTCATTTTTTTTCCATATGGACATACAATAGACCCAAGACTATTTCTTCAAAAGATTGTCTTTTCCCCCTTGTCATAAATCATGTATTCATATGTACATGTGTCCCTCATTAGCCATCATATATTGACTTACTTGCTTAGTCCCCAAATGCATGTAGTTTCAGAATTGGTAACCCATACACCTGTAAAAACAAACCTGCTACTTAGAGTTCTATCATTGTTTACAGTTTTCTTTGTCTTTAACCTGAAAGTAGTGTATTTTTAGAATACTATGTTCAAAAGCAGATGGAGTTATCACTGCCCTCTTCAATATGGATATGTTATTAATTTGAAAAACAATTAGATTCATTTATTTTTGTATTACATTTGCCCCCTCCCTGTGTATTTTGTTAAGTATTTTTTGAATATGTGAAATACTACTGTTCTTAAAATCACAACTATACAGAAAGGTTTGTCCAGGGACATGTAATATTCCCTCATTTCTTCTATCCATTCCCAACTTCCTGCTATGTAGATAAAAGATAAATATATACTTTCTTATTTTCCTACACAAACGTATAGCATACTACATAGATACTATTTTTTGACTTTTTTTTCTTTAACTTAGCATACCCTACAAATCCCTGCATATGAGCTCATTGAGTGCTGAAACTTTCCTCCTTGGCTTATAGCTTAACATTATGCCAGTTAAGTGATCATACCACAATTGAACTATTCTAAATATTTTCATTTGTTTCTGTATTTTGCCAGAACAGTCACTGTTGTTGTGCATAGCCTTATGTATGCGTGTTTTTCTGTTGTTGGAAATGCTGCCATTCTTCTTTGAGATTTCTTTAGAAATTCAGTCCTAGAAGTTCAGATAGCACATGAGTAGAAATGGTTCTGAGGTGGTGATAGAAGAATGTTCCGAACTGAATTTTTTGGGGGGTCCGGGATGGGGGGCAAACCGAGAACTGAAATATATCCCCAGACCTTTCTTTTTTTTTTTTTTTTAATACCTTTATTTTATTTGTTTATTTATTTATTTTTATGTGGTTCCCCGGGAATCAACCCCAATGCTTCGCGCATGCTAGGCAAGTGCTCTACCACTGAGCCACAACCCCGGGCCCCAATCCCCAGACCTTTCTATTTTTTAAATAGAGACAGGGTCTCACTTAAGTTGCTGAGGTGGCCTTGAACTTGCAGTCCTCTTGCCTCAGCCTCCTAAGTAGCTAGGATTACAGGGTTGTGCTACTTGCCTGGCAGTGATATAAGAATTGTATCCAATCCTTTTAGGGGAATAAAACCAAGCCAGTCTATTTAAATAATTAAAATTAGTTTGTGTTGAAAGACTTTCATTTTGTTATTAGAACTTTCCTTTACTTATTTATTTTTATTTTCAGGGAAGAAACTTTTTGGTGAAGGCTACAGTGGACTAGAATATGATTACCGAGGTCTCATTAAACTTTACAACTCCATTGGAAATTATGAGAAAGTGTTCGAATATCATAATGTTCTGTCTAACTGGAACCGGTTGCGAGATCGGCAGTATTCGGTGACCGATGCTCTTGAAGACGTTAACACCAGCCCCCAGTCCACTGAAGAAGTGGTGCAGTCCTTCCTGATTTCTCAGAATATTGAGGGACCAAGTTGCTGAGGGAGGACCTCAGTTAACCAATTATCTTTTCCCAGATTCCAGGGAATTCATACTGTGAAATCAAAACCATGTTGTTTTTGGGGGCTGGAATTTGCATTGAAACACTGGTCCAGTCCATTGAAAGCCCTATTTTGGGTAATCCCTATCTTGCAGAGTGTCCGTAGAATAAGCATATATTCAGTTATATTCAGCATGTATCGCATGTATAAGTAGTCTGGCCCACATTCTCAACCTAGTAGAACAAACAACAGAAACCCCCCCCCCTTTTTTTTTTTTCTTTCTTTTTAAAAAATAATTCGTTTTACAGAAAGCCTGAAAGGAAAAAAAAAAAAAAGAACCCCTAAATAAAACTATTTAAGAGTTTAAAAGAGTTGTATTCTTATTACGTAAGGATGATCTTAACAACTTTTTAACATAAAATTCTTCCATGTGGAGATATTCAATACTGTACTGTAAAGAAATTTTATGGGGAAAATCTTTATTTGCAGTATAGAAAAGTTAATACAAGTACTAATAAAAGAGGGACATCCTGACTTTATGTTTGGCCACCTTTCCCAGAGAAGTGGATACAACCACTCTAGAACTATATTATAAGAGAAGGACTGTCAGATTCTTCTGAACTGGACCAGTGTTGATCTGTAAGTAATAGAAAATATGATAGACCAGCGGTTTTAACTCATTTTTTTTGTTTGTTTGTTTGTTTGTTTTTGGTACAACAATGCAAGATGCTCTAACAATGTTTGCTAACAGGACCAGGAGGATCTAAAAAGGACCAGCCTAAAGGACCTGGTTATTTGGACCAGAGGCTTTAGATTATTATTTTAGCCCCTGCATATACTTTTATCAATAGAATGATTTCATTTAGCTCTATAAGGGAAAATGATAATGCACAAACTACATTCATATAATAGATACCGAACTAGGGAAATTTGGTAATTTTAATGACACATCTTTAGTCAAGGTACATAGATGGCAATGCCATAAGCAAGTCTATAATGCCTGCTGCAACTACCACCATTATTTAAAATTTACTCTAATAATCAACACAATAAACAAATATATTGGCTAAGAGTCGTGAAATAGCTCATGTCTAGGTGGAAATTTTAGGTTACTATGTTATCTATGGGGATAATGGAAAATGAATGCCCATAAATATGTCTTCTAAGAAATTCCTTTATTTTTATGGTATATAAAACAGCATCATTTTATCTGAAACCCAGTAGTCAAATGGAGAGATCCCCTAATGATAGTTGTATTTCACCAATTTGTCTTTCCATTTATTGGGTTCTAATTTTCTTTTTCATCTTTTTGTTCTTCTTGTTCTTATTTTTTAAAGTAAGTCAGTTGGGTTATTTAATGTTGAGGTAATGTTCAAATTTGAGAAGTTATGACATGTAGCAAACCAAGAAACAAAGGTCTTTTGCTATTACCTCAATTCTTATTATAGTGGCCCATCTGGTGCCTCTACAGTTAAGAATCTGGGTTTCTCCCCTATTTTCAGGGGTTCATGACTTGGCTAATGCTTGGAGTAGTCTGTGTGTGAGTGAGTGTGTATTGAATTTTGGTTTTTCTCTTAACATGCATGTTGGGTGAGAGGGGAAATAAACCTAAATTCACATAGAGTACAGAAAAACTAATTGGTGATTTAATTTTAAATATTTTTTTTAACTTCCCAACTTTAACCTTGTTTGAAACCGCTATTTGCATTTTTGTTAGTTATGAGCCAGTGCATTTAAATTATTCAGAGGTATACCTGAAGACATAAGCAAGCCCAGATCCCTAAGATGATAATTTTGTGATTTAGAAATCTGGATTTTTTTTTCCTCAAATTATTCTCTTTAAATTCTGGAAAGAATAAATTGGCATGCCTGCAGTTTATGAATCTGGTCCCCCTCCCAGTTAATTGCAGTCTGATGCCAAGAGTCACCCTTTATTAATTACTAAATAGTCTGTATGACCAAGGACTAACATTTTAAGTTACTCAGCTCTATCCTCATGGACCTATATATTTAATACCTCCAAAGATATTTTCAGGATAGGCTTTGTATACTTTTATTGGTTATTAGAGTCCTATGGTATATTTCTGGTATAGGAATGTTGTGGTAAATTGTTTTTCAATAAATATTTTGAAACTTATGTTTCCACAAGAAGTTTCTTTTTTTTAATCTTTTTTATCTTTTTTTGTTTTGTTTTTTCTTTTTTTCTTTTTGTTTTTTGTTTTTTTTGGGGGGGGGGCAGGGGGGTTTGTGCACATACAACATTTCCTAGGATAAAATCAAGCAAAAGACTTTAAAGCCTTATCTTCCCTAACTCAGTTTGAATTCAACTTAGCTCACACTCAGTGATAAAGTGATACAATATTTAGAAGACTTGGATCACAGGGTGATAATGTCAACTGGCAGCCAGTGTCATCTCCTACCCCATGTTGTTATTGGCAGTTTTTCCTTTTAAGTATAGGATTTATCCCTTTAGTAAAGATGTTGAGAGCAAATTTGAGAAATGAATGCCACCATGATTTATGACATTAAGAAATAAAACTAAAAGTAATAAAATTATATCCACAATAACTAAATTTTTTTACATATTATGGGGTCCAGTGTAAGGAAGCCTTGGCCAACTTAAATATTTTTCTGGAAGCTTAATGAAGTAATGTTAAATAAGGGCCTTTGGTCTCATCATTACCTGAGTTCTACCCAAAAAGATTGGTGCTATTCAAATTGAGGGCATCAGGGAGCTCTCACACACATGCCATACAGGTGGTCACTCACTTTCAACTTCAGTTTAATAGAGCCTATTCAGTTTTTTAGAGCATAATATTTATGGGTCCCCAAAATGGACTTTGCCCAAAGAATAAGGACCTTTACTACTATCGAATCTGTTCTTTAGTTAAGAATGCACTCTCTATTGCTTTGTAGTAACCCCTGCCCAAATATTGTTGCATTTCGAAAACAAAGGATTTAACAAGAGACCTTTGTTCATAACCTGTAGGATTTCACAATCTTGCAAAAATTAAGTACAGAAAGCCACATTTAGTGGTGCATGCCTATAGTCCCAGCTATTTGGGAGGCTGGGGTGGGTGGGAGGATCACTTGAGCTCACAAGTTCCAGGCCACCATGGGCAACACAGCAAAACCCCCATTTTTAAGTACAATGGCTGCAATCTTAGAAATAATCAGAATGCCATTTGGCTTCTCTTTATAGTGCAGACGGAAAGCTGATCGGTAAACATGCCTAAAACATGATTGAAGCTTTTGGCCAAAACTTTACAAACTTAAAAACAATGATTTGCTAACAGCAGGCATTGTTAATTAGCACTTATTTTTATGTTTTCCCCAGGATTTGTAGCCTTTTTGTTTCCAGACTTCTTTTTCTGAATGGCAAAGTTATTACTGGAAAAATACTTTAAAGAATTTTGTTTTAAGAATTTTATTTTTGCTTTAAAAATTAATCCATATTTCACCTCTTGACTTTGGAGGACTTCAAGTTACCAAGACTTTTTTTTTTAAATATGATATTTGGATTAAATTCCAATTTGAACACTTGTAATTCTTTTGTCCACGAATCTCAGGAATGTTTTAGGTGGAAAGCTGGTTTTACCCTGTTGATCTGAAGGAGTGTGCTTTAGGACTTATTAAATAATACTATTCTTAATTGCAATCCTAGGTATCTATAGCATGAGTGGCCTTAGTGAGTTTGTTGAAGTGCACATGTTTTTCAAAAGTAAAATTTAAGATTAAATATATATATGCTATATATAGATATCTAGAAAACTTGGTTTGTGGTGCACAGTTAAGTGTTGGATCATTAAATAACCGTTGCAGGTACCATTTGTGTAACATCACTCATTTCTGTATATTCCTTTTATGGAAAGATATGTTGCCATGGTAACTAAAACTTTTCAGTTTAGTTTTATGATGTGAGTGAATGCTACATTTTATTAAATATTACCAGGTCAGTACTATTTTTATACTTTATTAAGCAACAGGGGATTTTAGTTTAATAGCCTCAAAATAAAAAGCTCTTAACGAACAATAAAAACAAATCACTAACATTCTTTACATGAAAGTCCCCACTACTAGTGCCACAGTAATTTCTATAGAAATAACTAAGTTTAATAGATTTTTGAAGACAGTTCATTGTGTCAGAATGACCTTTCGTATCATTCTCACTGACTTGTAGTGCCCACCATTATTTGTAATTATTAAATCATACTAAGTATGTTTGTAACCAGCATTGTGATATATTCTGTACTTGTATTGCTAAAAACGAATTATTGACCTAATAAATATAGTGTTCCTGCATTCATAGTCTGTTTCCAATTTAGTTGTGATTGCTTTTGGTTGGGACTCAGGATTATTTACATTTTACAGACTTTTTATTACAGAACATTGTGAGAGAAACAGTTGGAACTAGAACAAAAGCACTCTTATTCAAGAAAATTAAGATGTGTAGCAGAAGAGACTCCTAACAGCATCTGGAGATGGTGTTCATGAAGTCACTTCGAAAATGACTAATGAAGCAAGTTTTTTAGACGTTAAGAATGTGACCATATCACTCTTCCCTAGTCTTCCAGTTCTAAAAGCCTAAAGATGGAGATAAAGAGACCTGGGAAAATTCTGCTGGAAAAGGAGAAAAATCCTAAGTTTGGAGTTTCAGTTACAGCTCTTCCTCTGCACTGTAGGAATTGTGTTATATTATTACAAACCTCTTTGTGTTTCACCTCACATGAAAGACAGGGTCAAGTTAGGTCTTTAAAAAGCACCACGAGCCATGTACCACCTATAATCCCAGCAGCTCAGGAGGCTGAGGCAAGAGGATCTCGAGTTCAAAACCAGCCTCAGCAGTGGCAAGGTGCTCAACAACTCAGTGAGACCCTGTCTCTAAATAAAAGACAAAGTAGGGCTGGGGATGTGGCTCAGTGGTATAATGCCTCTGAGTTCAATCCCTAGTACGTGATCCCACTCCCCAAAAAAGCACCATGAATAAACATAATTTTTTTTTTTTTTTTTTTTTTGGTACTGGGGATTGAATTTAGGGCCCTCAACCACTGAGCCACATCCCCAGCCCTATTTTATGTTTTATTTAGAGAGAGAGAGTCTCAGTGGGTTGCTTAGCGCCTTGCTATTGCTGAGGCTGGCTTTGAACTCACGATCCTCCTGTCTCAGCCTTCTGAACTACTGGGACCACAGGCGTGTGCCACAGTGCCCAACCCAACAAATTTTAATAAGTGCTGAGACAGATAGTGGGAATGAAGCTACATTTTAAGATATTATAAAGAAAATATCTTAGGCCTGGGGATATAGCTCAGTTGGTAGGGTGCTTGTCTTATGTGCACAAAGGGTTCAATCACTAGCACCACAAAAAAAAAAAAAAAAAAAACAAGACAAAATCCCACCTTTGTTTGTAATTACTCTAGCTTCATTCTGCTTCAGCAATACTAAATTCAATTTTTTTTTCTTTTTACATTCCTCCATGACTTTGAAACTCTGAACATAACTGTTTCCTCTTCTGTATGGAATGCAATTTCCTAGGTAAGGTCTTTTCCATCTGTGAGCTCAAAGACTAATGGGAGCTTTCCCTTAAAGTTTGACTTGCCATTTCTTAGTAATTTAGCATTTTACTAAAAGCCGAGTGCAGTTGCACATGCCTATAATCCCACCCAGTTTGGGAGGCTGAGACAAGAGGGTTGCAAATTTGAATCCAGCCTCATCAATTCAGTGAGACCTTGTTTCAAAGTACAAAATTAAAAAGGCTGAAGGTTTACCTCAGTGGTAGAGCACCCAGGGGTTCAGTCCCCAGTACTAGGGGATGTAAAAAGTGGAATCGCCTTATTTTTGTTTAGAAAACTATGTGTAGTTAGATATTGATAGAATGAATGAGTGCACAGAAAAAAATATATATCAAGCTGGGTACAGTGGCATATGCCTAAAATCCCAACAACTTGGCAGGCTGAGGCAGAAGGATCCTAAATTCAAGGCCAGCCTTGGCATTTTAGAGAAACTCAAAAAGGGGTGGGGGGTGTCCTGGGGATGTTGATCTGTGGTAAGGCACCCTGGGATTCAATCCATAGTACCTGCCCACCAAAAAAAAAAAAAAAATGTTTAACCCAGTTGCTATATAGTGATATAACTTGCAGAATAAAAATTATTTCCAGCTTGTAAACTTTGCTGATTTGTGCATTTAACAAAGAGCATAGAGTTTACCCTGTCACAGATACTGTTCCAAATGTGTTAGCAAACTACACCCGGATGCTTTAACACATTTATTTTATAGTTGTAAAATTCAAGACAGGGTGACAGGGTAGCTCAGTGATAAAGCATACGCTTCGCATGTGTGAGGCCCTGGAGTCAATCTCCAGGACTTCCCCAAAATTTCCTTCCTTCCTTCCTTCCTTCCTTCCTTCCTTCCTTCCTTCCTTCCTTCCTTCCTTCCTTCCTTCCTTCCTTCCTTCCTTCCTTCCTTCCTTCCTTCCCTTCCTCCCTCCCTCTCAAAGTGGGGCTTAACAATATCCCATATCCCCAGCCCTTTTTTTATATTTTATTTAGAGACAGGGCCTTACTAAGTTGCCAAGGGTGGCTTTGCCCAAAATATTTTGAGATGAACATTTTTTTAGGATGGTATTCTAAAACAAGTATTGTCAAGGATGTAGAGACATCATAACTCTTATGTACTATTGGAGATGTAAAATGGGTCATATGTTATGCATCACTGTATCACACCCAGTGACACACAGTTTCGTATGTATGAGGATCCTCAGAAGTTTTTAAATTGCTGGGCATATTGGCACGCACCTGTAATCCCAGTGATTCAGGAGACTGATGCAAGAGAATGGCAAGTATGAAGCCAACCATAGCAACTTAGTGAGACCTTGTCTTAAAAAAAAAACAGGAAAAAAGGGAGGGAAGAAGGGGAATGCTGGGGATGTAGGTCAGTGGTAGAGAGCCCAGGGGTTAAAATCTAGTACTGGAATAAAAAAAAAGTATATGTCCAAATTAATTAAAAGTATGCTTAAAACCCATACTTGTATACCAATGTTCATAGCAACACAGTAATAACCAAAGATGGAAGCAACTCCAGTGTCAATGGATAAACAGATAATGTGTATATTGAAAATGAAATATTATTCAGCCTTTAAAAGAAATGTTTACATGTGCTACAATCTTAAGGACATTATGTTAAGCAAAAAAATAAGACAGGCTGGGGTTGTAGCTCAGTGATAGAGCCCTTGCCTTGCACAAATGAGGCTCTGGGTTCGATCCTTAGCACCACATAAAAATAAATAAATAAAGATACTATGTCCATCTACAACTAAAAAAAAATATTTTTTAAATAAGCCAGGGGCTGAGATTGTGGAGCGTTCACCAGGCACATACGTGGCCCTGGGTTTGATCCTCAGCACCACATAAAAATAAATAAATGCGGGCTGGGGTTGTGGCTCAGAAGTAGAGTGCTCGCCTCGCACGTAGGAGACCCTGGGTTCGATCCTCAGCACCACATAAAAATAAATAAATGAAATAAAGGTATTGTGTCCAACTACAACTAAAAAATAAACATTTTAAAAATAAATAAATAGATGCGATAAATGTATTGTGTCCAACTACAACTAAAAAATATTTTTTAAATGAACCAAATACAAAGAAACCATTAAAGATTCCACTTACATGAGGTGTCTATAGAGTAGTCAAATCCATAGAAGCAGAAAGAATGGTGGTTGTAGAAGCTGGCAGGGAAGAAAAATGGGGAATGATTACTTAATGGATATTGTTTTACATGATGAAAGTTCTGGAGATTGTTTGCCTAACAATGTGAATATAACTTATACTAGTGAATTGTACACCTAAAGATGTCTAAGGCAGCTGGGTGTGATAGTGCATGCCTATAATCCCAGCACTTGCTGGCTGAGGCAAGATTGCAAGTTCAAAACCAGCCTCAGCAAGAGCGAGGCACTAAGCAACTCGGTGAGACCCTGTCTCTATATAAAATCCAAAATAGGGCTGGGGATGTGGCTCAGTGGTTGAGTGCCCCTGAGTTCAATCCCTGGTACCAGGATAAGGGAGTAAATTTTGTGTCTACCACAGTTTCATGAAAAGACAACAAATGGCTTTCAATTTGCTTAGACAGTTAAGTCAGTCATGATACATTTAGTTTGATAGTGGTTTTTAATTTTTTTCCCCATTACTGGGGATTGAACTCAGTGGGGTAATTTACCATTGAACTACATCCATAGACATTGGGGGTTTTTTTGTTTTGTTTTGTTTTTTGAAACAGAGTCTCACTAAATTGCTGAGACGGGCCTTGAACTTGCAGTTCTCCTGCCTCAGCCTCCCAAGTCTCTGGGATTATAGTTGTACACAACCACACCCAACAATACATATAGTGTGGTGAGGGACGGGGTGGGGGAGACTATGATCACTTCCAGACAGTGCCCTGATAAATCTCTAGAGTAATTTACTTAATTAGAGCTTTGATATAAACTGTCAAAGTTGCTTTGCATTTAAATTCTTTCTTAACCTAACATCAAGCTATTTTTAACTCATTTCTGCATATGTAGTTTATTTTTCCTTCCTGGTACTGGCTGCGACAGTTACTGGACCCATATTCTGCATCTGCTATATTGGTATCAGTAAATCAAAACTCTTTACACAAGAGGGAGAAAAAAAGTGAAATTGGTCATTAAAAAACTACCTTTACGGGGCTGGGGATGTGGCTCAAGCATTAGCGCGCTCATCTGGCATGTGTGCGGCCCGGGTTCGATCCTCAGCACCACATACCAACAAAGATGTTGTGTCTGCCGAAAAAACTAAAAAATAAATATTAAAAAATTCTCATTCTCTCTCACTCTCTCTCATTCTCACTCTCTCTTGAAAAAAAAAAAACTACCTTTATGGGCTGGTGCAGTAGCTCTGTACTAAACCACTTGTGTAGCATGTCAGAGGCCCTGGGTTCAATCCCCAGTACCACAAAAACAAAACATATGGGCTGGGGCTGAGGCTCAGTGGTAGAGCACTTGCCTAGCATGTGTGAGGCACTGGGTTTGATCCTCAGCACCACCTAAAAGTAAATAAATAAAAGTTTGGGGTTCATCTATACCTAAAAAAGTTGTTCATTTGTTATTTGATTTTTAATAAAAAAGGACTTTTAGGTGTTTTTTTTTTTTGGGGGGGGGGTTAACCCAGGTCCTTGTGCATGCAAGGCAAGCACTTTACCAACTGAGCTCTATACCCAGCCCAACCTTTTTTTTTTTTTTTTTTTTTACTGTAATGAATTTAGTACTTATTTGGTCATTCAAATCAATACTTTCAGCTTT